GCAATACTTTGTTCATGCAAACAGCAGTGTGTCTCAATAGACCTTCCAGCTCCTGTGTAGCTTATGCACAGGAGCAAGAACCCTGGAAATGTTGGGTAATTGTGCAATTGTTGAGCCTTCACATCAGGAGGTCCCTTGCTCCCTTCAGATGTGTTGCCGTCCACATGAGCAAAGCGACAAAGGGGAAGAGCAGAGGAAGAAGAATCACATATACCCCTGATTGTTCTAATTAGTCCATCATTAGCAAGTGAAATTTGTCTCTCTTCCAGAGACATGGCTCAGGCTGACCTAGCAAAGAAGACTCATGCTAATTTTCTTTAATTCTTCCCTGCAGGGAAGCTAATTCATGGACTATGGGAGGCATGTAACACTTTCCTCTTATGCCCTTTTTGGATCCATATCCAGACGCTAGCATTTGCTGCTGATCCACAGGGCAAATTGCACAGGGATGAGAAGTAGTGGTTGCCAAATCTGAGAGTCCGGGCTGATGTCTCAGGGAATCTCTGTGCTTCTCCGAGGATCTTAGGCTGGGAGGAAAACAGCAGGAAGCAAGGTTTTCCCCCGTCAGGTCGCTTTACAGCTTGCACGCCCATCTCCGCTCACTTCAATCTGATCCCATAGTCAACTGGTTCGGCACGAAGGTGTACGCATGGATGCTGCCCTTGATCCTCTTCCAGCTCTTGCCTCTATGAGATCACAAGGTCCTCTCTCTGATGTCAAAAGGGGAAAACCTCCGCTCACAGGTCTTGACCCAGAAATCTCTGGGAATCGGCTGCACTTGATTTGGCAACGCTAACTACTTCTATGTCTTACGTGCCATCAAGTTGCTTCGGACTTCTGGCGACCCTAAAGCTTTCGCAATTTGAAGAAGCGGTTTCCTGTTAGCTGCTCCTCCGGTGAGTTCCCATGGCTGAGCAGGGATACAAACACTCTAACCCCTATACCACACTGGCTCCCAGCTATACAGACAACAGTATCCTTTGCCCTGCAGCGAAGACTTATAGAAAAGGGGAACATTTATTCAGAAGGGAAACTGGTACAGAGAAACCTATTCCACCTCTGTGTTTTTCTGATTAGGTGTTTTCATTTTAACTTGATGTGGTATGTTTTATTTTGTTGTAAACCACCCAGAATAGTGCATGCACTATTAGGGCAGTACATCAATCAATCAATCAATCAATCAATCAATCAATCAATCAATCAATCAATCAATCAACCAACCAACCAACCAACCAACCAACCAACCAACCAACCAACCAACCAACCAACCAACCAACCAACCAACCAACCAACCAACCAACCAACCAACCAACCAACCAACCAACCAACCAACCAACCAACCAACCAACCAACCAACCAACCAACCAACCAACCAACCAACCAACCAACCAACCAACCAACCAACCAACCAACCAACCAACCAACCAACCAACCAACCAACCAACCAACCAACCAACCAACCAACCAACCAATTAATCAAATATATAGACACACCTATCTATCTATCTATCTATCTATCTATCTATCTATCTATCTATCTATCTATCTATCTATCTCTAGCTAGCTAGCTAGCTAGCTAGCTAGCTATTTATCCATCTATCCATCCATCAAATGTATATACACACACATGCTCAGAGAGAGCCCTGCACTGGGGGGGGCATCCTCCCATTGCAGAACATGGCTTAATTTTATGGGAACACTGGAGAAGGTACTAAATCATTTTAAGCATTAAGAGAGATGCCCATTTGGAATTGAGAACGCACAGTTGCATCCACATCTCTCTCGGGCACGGATGGAGCAGGGTTAGTGGTAAGGAAGTAACTGGAGAGAGGGGTGGGGCGGGTGGCATTTGGTACGCGCACACCCCTGTGCGTCTAGACCGATTACTCAAAAGGAACACGGACCGGATGAAAGCTTAATGCTCTGGAAAGTTTTCATTTAAAGATTTCAGTGGCTTAACTTTCTGAAAATGCCAGACAAGGTGCAAAATCGTTTTAGGCATAAAGTGAGACATCCGTTGGCAATGGAGAACTTCTGGTCCCCGCAGGTCTTCAACAGCCTGCTTCCCCCCCCCCAAAAAAAACCAATTCCCTTATCAGAGGGTCTGATCAAACACGTTTCATTGAAAACACTGGCAAGAGGTGGGAAACTAACGTTATGATTAATCCGAGGCATGAATGCCTGTTCTCATGGCTATGGATGGTCATGGCTTTCTTAATTTGTCGGAAATGGTGAAAATGGGAGAGTATCCGGGTATCATAGTGGAAATCTGTAAAAGGACCTTGCCATTTTCTCTTCCACCTTGATTGGCAGATTACTGAATAATAGTAATAATAATAATAGTAATAACAACAACAACAACAACAACAACGATGATGATGATGATGATGATCAGAAGGGAAAGAATGTGTATGATCTTGGTCTCCAAGATAACAATAACAATAACAACAACAACAATAATAGTTACCTGTTATTATTACCTGTTGTGTTTGTTGTTGTTGTTGTTGTTGTTGTTGTTGTTGTTATTATTATTATTATTATTATAACCTCTGAAGGGTTGATCAAATGTCAGGATGTGTCTTTGGAGACCAAGATCATCCACATTCTTTCCCTTCTGATCACCACATATGTTTGAAAGCTAGACAGTCAAGAAAGCACAGGAAAATAATTGATTTGTTTAAAATGTTGTGTTGGAGGAGAGCTTTGTGGATGGTGTTGTTGTTGTTGTTGTTGTTATTATTATTATTATTATTATAACCTCTGAAGGGTTGATCAAATGTCAGGATGTGTCTTTGGAGACCAAGATCATCCACAACACCATTAAAAATGTTGTCTGTCAGGCCATGGTATTTTTTATTTATTTAATTTATGTCCTGCCCATTTAGACCGATGTCTACTCTGGGTGGCTAACAACAATGTTAAAATAAAACAATATAAATACACTGGATGGTGAAATAAGTTAGGTATCGATAGGAGGGATCTCTGGAGGCACAAATGTGGAAACTGAGGCTGTCGTACTTTGGACACGTGGTGAGAAGGTAGGATTGTCTGGAGAAGACCATGATGCTAGGAAAGTTGAAGGCAGCAGGAAAAGAGGATGCCGAAATGCAAGATAGACTGACTCCCTAAAGGAAACCACAGGCTTGAATTTGCAAGACCTGAGCAGGGCAGTTGAGGACAGGACATTGTGGAGATCACGCATTCGTAGGATTGCCATAAGTCAGAGGTGACATGATGGCACATAAAAAGGATTGACTGATTCTTTATTTGTATCAGAGTATGGCACAATGAGCAGGTCTGCAGGGCCACAGTTCTGGAAATGAGGGGTTTGCTGGTTGCATGCTGTTGCCCATCAGATGCCCAACAAAGCTTTGCTAATCTTTGGGGAGGCTCCTTCGATGTCCCCCAGCATTGATCAGTGTTTAGTAGAAATAAGCCCAGACAAGCAGGAGTGTGGGTAGGTGTGTGTGTGTGTGTGTGTGTGTGTGAGTCTGAATTAAGGTGAAGCTGAGGTGGCGCACCAGTTGCTAATCTTTGGGGAGGCTCCTTCGATGTCCCCCAGCATTGATCAGTGTTTAGTAGAAATAAGCCCAGACAAGCAGGAGTGTGTGTGTGTATGGGGGGGTGTCTGAATTAAGCTGAACCTGAGGTGGCAACTCACCCAGCTAAGGGAGGAAGCGCCATCGAGAACAGAGTCAACAACGAAAGGGAGACGCAGCCAACCAGAGTGGGAGTAACTAGCCCCGGGTTTTGTCCTCCCCCCTCTTTCCCTCTCTTTATAATCACATGACAATCACACATCTTTGTTTATTCAGACGATGCTTTCGTGCTCGTCCTGAGCAAAGCCGAGAGGAACCAAGGAATTATGACACATAGTTCTTGATATGCAGCAACTTTCAAAAGGATGCTAGAAGTCTTTTCTCAAACTAGAACCCCAGCACTCCCCACACAGACGCATTACATCTCCTTCCATAAAGTTATCCTCCAAGACCACATTTTGAATTACAGTGGAATCCTCCTATCCACGGGATCAGTATCTCCTGATCCACTGATCTGCTGCCTGCAAATACCTCCCGCCCCCTTAGGAACACAAGCAGGAGTGTGGGTAGGTGTCTTGACATTGAGTCCAGTTGTGTCCCACTCTAGGGTGTGGTGCTCATCCCCGTTTCCAAGCCGTGAAGCCAACATTTTGTCCATAGACAGTTTCCATGGTCAGGTGGCCAGTGTGACTAGACACAGAACACTATTACCTTCCCACTATGATGGTACCTATTTATCTATTCACAGTTTTACATGCTTTCGAACTGCTAGGTTGGCAGGCGCTGGGACAAGCAATGGGAGCTCACTCCGTTGCGTGGATTCGATCTTACGATGGCTGGTCTTCTGACCCTGCAGCACAGAGGCTTCTGCGGTTTAACCCGCAGCACCACCACGTCCCAGAAATACATACTGTACCTGTTAATACAGGTATTGAATGCTGGTTATTACCTAGAAAGCCCTACATGGCTTCACCCCAAGCCTTTGGAAGGATCAGATCACCGTATATGACCTTTCTTGGGTTTAAGATCTTCTGGAGAGGCTCTTCTCTCGGTTTCCACCATCTTCCCAAGCTTCCTCAGTGAGGACATCAGAGAGGGCCTTCTCCGTGGTGGCTCCCAGGCTTTGGGACACACTGTCATGAGAGGCCACGTTGGCCCACCTCTTTCATGTCCTTCTGCTATCAGGGAAAGACCTGTTTCTTCAGGCAGGCCTTTCAGCAGGAAATAATCTCAAGGATGGCAGTTTTTAACTTGCCAGTTTTTAAAATCATGCCTTTGAATTGTTTTTAGACTTCATTCCTTAAAAAAAAACACACACACCTTGGCGTACGTTCAAACGTTTTTGAAATGTGATATTTTCATACATTTTTTAAAAAGTTTGTTGCTTTTATCTGTTGTGAGCTGCCCCTTGAGAGTCTCTTACAGGGAGAAAGGCGGCATAGATTAATTAACATTACTTACGATTGCACGCTTTCCGGTTGCACAAACGGCCTTCTTCCAGCACTCCCTCGCAGATGAGGCCGTCTTCTGGAAGGGGCTGGCAGGTGCGGGTTCGAGCCTGCAGGCCTCCCCCACAGCCCTGGTGCATTCTCCCCATGTCGACCAAGGGTTCCATCCACCTGAGGATCAGCCAGAAAAGACACAGCGGTAAAAAACCTCAGCCTTCCTGCTCCAAAGAGAGAGGGGAGACCATGACTCCCAGCCTATGTATGCAAGAAACAAAACTCATCACAGGGGGACCCAACCTTGTGTCCCCCAAATGTTCTTTAGACTACAGCTTCCAGAATCCTTTACCACTCAGCTGTGCTGGCCAGGATTTACAGGAGTTGTAGTCCACGAATACCTGGGGAGCACTGTCTGACCAGCCATCATCCTTACGGCAATTCACCCCACATAAATGAGAAACCACAGGGCGTCTCTTCCCAATAGCAATGGATGTATCTCCAGACATTGACCACAACCTTACTCTCCTGGTGCTCTCAGGACATCATTATTTGCACAGGAAGTAAATAGTGTCCCCAGAATATAGTCACATTTATATTTTTCTGGTTTTCTTTTTTTCACGCGATGAAAAGCATCTGGGGGAAAAAGAGAGACCCTTTCCCCAAACCACACTATATAGTCTTGCTTTATTTCCGGATATTTTTTGTTCCAAATGTAACACATGAGTTTTCTCCCCAGAACCTGATCCAGTAGGTCAATTCATACGGGAAAAAACACCACTGAAAACCACAAATTGCCTTTGCTCCCTGCCTCCTCAGCCCTTTGTAACATTTATTGATTTATCATCTTAAAGCTGGAAGGGACCTTATGGATCATGGAGTCCAGCTCCTGTCAAAGAGGCCCAGCGGAGAATCGAACTCCCAACTTCTGGGAGAGACTGGGGTGAGTTTATGTCCTAACCAAGGGCAAGCCAAGAAAAAAAATGCAATACGGCTGTGTTTGAAGGTGCACATTTTCATAGAAAGATACACTGGAAGGCAAGCTCGAAGTTGGAAAAAAAATATCAATGGTATTTCTGTCAGTTCCCTTCTTTTTGTTCCCAAAAGGTTAGCCAATTTAAAATCTTCCCAAGCAGCCATAAAATATCACTACCAGTTAATCAGCTGACATTTTATTTAAAAAATGTATTTGTTCCTTTAAAAGGTTAATGTTATTTTAGTAGAAATAATTATAGAAGCTGCAGATGGCGGTGACAGTGTCGGGAAAGATGTCCGCCATTCATTCCCAAAGAAGCTTCTACTACACTGGCACAAGAAATACATTCCGGATTAACCTTCGCTATGGGGAAACATTGTTAAGTGGGATGGGGATACCCATTGGAACGCATTAAACTTCGTTTAATGTGTTCCAAATGGGCCCCAAACTCACCAGTCTCCGATGTTTCCCCATGTTGCGGTGGCCATTTTGGGTGTCCCGGCGGCCATTTTGGGTGTCCCGGCAGCCATTTTTAGTGTTCCAGCCATTTTTAGTGTTCCGGCGGCCATTTTGGGGGTCCCGGTGGCCATTTTTAGTGTTCTGGTGGCCATTTTGGGTGTCCCGGCGGCATTTTTAGTGTTCTGGCGGCCATTTTGGGTGTCCGGCAGCCATTTTGGAACCGCCGAACAGCTGTTCCCCCATTGCAATGCGAGGATGCCCTCGTATTAGCGATGGGGAAATCTGCATCGGTATGCGGATTCTTTGTTAAACGGTGCACTCGTTATGCAAGGCACCACTGTATAGGGAGCGGGGGAGGATTAGGCCACAGACTTCAGACTGACCGCTTAATGCATCACCAAGGGGAAAGAAAATGCAAGGAAATCACAGACACACAAATTGTATCTTTGCCCAAATCTGTTTGTATAGGATTTCTGTTTACGGATGCACTATGGACGCAGTCAGACTCTATATCCATGGAATCAGTATTCACAGTTTCATTTATCCACAGTCTGAAAATATTAAAAATATTTTTTAAAAAACCTAGAAATATGTATTTTCATTATGTATTTATCAGAACTGGCCACTAGAGAGAGCCAGAGAATGTGCTATGTATTATTGTTGTTGAAGAATACATAGCATGTCCTTTGGCTTCCTCCAATGGCAAGTTCTGGTAATATATGATGAAAATCCTTTTTTCTGGATTTTTTCTCTTTTACCATGTTATGTATAATGTTTGATATTATCCACATTTTCCAGCATCTGTGGGGGCTTTGATCCAATGCCCTGCAGATATTGCAGTTGTACTCTAACTGCAAAATGGAAATGGAAATGCAGTCTCTGTCTGTAAAAAAGCTACCCATGTGCCTTCGATGATCGCCAGATCAGCAAATCTATTCATGCTCGAAAAGCTGGAATAGTATAAATCTTGACAGCAAAATGCTGCTTATTAAGAAGGTGGTGGCTTAATTCCTGAACGTGCATCGGATAGCACAATCAGGCATGCACCACTGAATGCAACCCAAACCATGTTTCATAGCAGTAATTTGTTCATGTGATTCTCTTAAGCAAGCATAACTCTGCAATAGGATTTTGGCCAATATATGCACATACTGTATGCATATGAATGAAAAGGTGAGGCAAACAATATAGATTTCCTGTACTATCTCCCAAACAAAAAAATATGATGTGAGAAAGACGCATGCCATTATCTTTGTATTGAGACAGTGACCCTTTGTAACAGCTAGGACTGGGGACTGGGAGACAGGAATTCAAGGCATAACTTATCATGAAATCAAATTTTCTGCAGGCTGTGTTTTTGTTATACGCCCTGGCTTAGCATGTTTTATTTATTTATTGTTTTTATATGCTCAGTTTTCTCAGTTTTCCT